CAGAGAATTGTTACTCAGGGACAGACAGAATTGTTACTGAGTGCCAGAGAATTGTTACTCGCACAGACACAAAATTGTTACTTGCACAGACACAGAATTGTTACTCGCACAGACACAGAATTGTTACTCAGGGCCACAGAATTCATACTCAGGGACAGACAGAATTGTTACTGAGTGCCAGAGAATTGTTACTCAGGGACACCTAATTGTTGAATTAAATAGTATGTCAGACAACATGCAGAGGAGTGGCAGAGGAGGCAATGTTTTAGGAGCGAGCAGACGTGGCAGCAGAGGAAGGGGTCGAGGCAGCAGTATTCGCAGCCAGAGGCCAGTGCTCCCGGTGTCATCCAGCGGTCGTGTCTCCACCGACAACCCTGCCGTCATTGATTGGTTGGCTCGGTCGTCTTCCTCTTCCCAGGTCACCTCTGACACCTACAGCCAACGGTCGGTGGGTACGTCAGACACAACCGTTAGTTGGCATGGCCCGGGAGCAAGCCCACTGAAATCACGTGTCCTCTACCTGCCCCTGTCCTTTGCTGTTCCCTCACCAAGCGAAGTATCGCATGCTGTGGGCTCAGCCCCACTGTACAGTGAGGAAGAGCTAACAGAGGGCGGTCAGGAACGGGGGGAGACATCGGCCTTTTCAGCAGCCAAGCGAACAAGTACTGGCGAGGAGAGTGGCTCGGTAGCCGGTCTAGAGACAGGTCTGTCTCCTGACCCAGACGCAGCCGAGGGGGCTAGTAGTGAGGCGGAGACCCTACTTGATGATGAGGAGGTTGATCGCACTTGGCAGCCTCGTCGTCATCAGGCAATTTCTTCCGCATCATCAGGAGAAGAGGGTGGCAGCTTGGCAGCGAGCAAAACAGTCGGTGGGTTGCCCAGGAGACAGCAGCAGGGTCGCATCAGTGTCAGTGGAGCCAAACGTCCACGGAGTAGAGCACCAGCTCCACTGCAGCCTACCTACCACCACGGCCAGTAGTGGGTGCCGGTGCGCCGGAGGAAGTAGCAGTCAGCCAGTGAAGAGTAGCGGGGGCAAAGTTTCCTACTCGGTGGTGTGGCAATTTTTTCCTCAAGCCGCCCGAGGAAGTAAACGTAGCCGTATGTCGACTATGTGGCCAGAAATGCAAGCGTGGCCAGGGGGCCCATGTTGGGACTACAGCGTTGCGTCAGCATATGCAGCGTCACCATTCGGTGGCCTGGGAAAACCGTGATAAACATACGGCGGTTTCTGCCTGCCCCAGCCCCCGCTCCATCACCCGTTCCGTTACTTGCTCCGTCACCCGACGTCGTCAATCGCCCTCTATCAGCCAGTCAAGGCTCCAACACCTCTGCTGCTGAGGGGAGTTGTCGCTCGTTGGCATCTTCCGCTCGTTCAGATGCTCCTTCTCCTGCTACTCCTCTTCTCGGATTCCGTCAACAGTCTTTCTTGGAATCCGTATCCAAGAGACAACAGTTTGCGAGCACGCACCCGACGGTGCAAAAGCTGAACGTCCTCCTGTCCAAGTTGCTGGTGCTGCAGTCCCATCCCCTTTCCAACTGGTGGACTCAGCACCTTTCCGAGAAATGATGGCTTGTGCCGCGCCGCGGTGGAGAGTGCCAAGCCGTCATTTCTTTGCCCAAAAGGCAGTGCCAGCCCTGCATTCACATGTAGAAGAGATGGTGGGCCAGTCTTTGAGCATGTCGGTCTCTGCCAAAGTGCACGGCAGCGCCAACGTGTGGAGCTGTAACTACGGTCAGGGACAGTACATGTCATTTACGGCCCACTGGGTGAACGTGGTGCCGGCACAGCCGCACCAGCAACTTTGGACAGGTCACGACGCTTTTGCCTCCACGTTGCACGTCCTTGGTCCAGCAAGCATGTCCGCCTCTACCACCTCTTTTTCCGCCGTGTCCTCAGAGTGGAGCCGCCACCCCCCGTGCCAAGTCCCATTACGATCCGACCGGCATATCACATGTGCCAGGCGCAACGGTGTCACGCTGTGCTGCACCTGGTATGCCTTGGCGAACGTAGTCACACAGGGGAGGAACTGCTGAGTGTAATGAACAGAGAAATCGACAGATGGCTGTCTCCGGCGCAAACTAAAAATCGGAACCATGTTGACTGACAACGGAAAGAACATGGTGTCTGCTCTGCGTCAAGGAAGGGTTGTGCCATGCGCCATGCATGGCTCACGTGTTCAATCTGGTTGTCAAGCGGTTTCCTAAAATCCACCATCCCACTGCAAGACATCCTTAAAATGTCACGTAAACTGTGCATGCATTTCAGCCATTCCTACACTGCAAAGAACACCCTCATTGAGCTGCAGCGGCAGAACGGAATTCCACAGCATCGCCTGATCTGCGACGTTGCAACAAGGTGGAATTCACCCTACACATGTTAGACCCGCCTTTACGAGCAGCGAAAGGCCATCACCGATTTCCTGATGTTACAAGCGGATAAAGGTACTCCCCTGTGTAACTTAGATGTCAGCCATTGGCAGCTCATGCGTGACACCTGCCGCTTGCTCAGCCCCGACTTTGAGGGAGGCCACGCTATTCGTGAGTCGGCAGGACTATGGGATGAAACGACGTCATTCCTCTGTTGCACGTCCTGGAACAAATGCTGTAAACAATGGCTGGTCAGGGTGCGGTAGACCCGTGGCGCACAGATCTCAACGCCACATGACCCCCTTGTGGGGCAGGACAGGAAGAAGAGGAGGAGGTAGAGGAGGGACATTTGGGTGCTCAGGAATTATTGAGTGAAATGGGTGTTTTTTCCACTCAGGGGCGGACAGGAGTGGAGGAGCAGGAGCATCTGGTAGAGGAGGGAGGAGGAGGAGACAGAGGACCCAGACGCACCGTGGCAGTATGCTGTGGAGATGGAGGCAGGGAGTCCCTCGCATTCCTTGGCACAAATGGCCCATTAGCATGCTCGGTTGCTTGCGTAGCGACAGCCGAATAATAACCATCAGACAGAGGGAAGACTTTTGGCTGTCCACCTTGTTGGACCCTCGCTACCGGTCCAAAATGGTGGCCTTTTTCACAACCTGCTGAGAGGGAGGCCAAAATTACGTACTATAAAAACCACCTATGTAGTCAGTTGGTCTCTGCCTTTGTGCGCCAACGTCCATCCTCAGACACTGTGGGCCCTGTGCGCTCGCGTTCCGCTGGCATGGGCAGCAGGGGAGGGGTGGGGTGGTAGGAGCAGTGTGGCAGCTCCACCCAGCAGCGGGCTGCCTCAGTCTGCAGTCGATGATGAGTAGCTTTCTTCACCAGCGCAGTGAGGAACTACTAACCAGCCGCAGCAGCAGCATCCAACAAGCAGCAGCATCAGGTGGACCTGGTAGCAGGAGCTCAAACAACAGGCTTGGGCCTACTTGGACAGCACCCTGCCAACCGAGGTAGGACAATCCCCTTGACTACTGGGGCAAGCGAAACTAGACCTTTGGCCCCAACTAGCTGAATTTGCCCTTGAAAGGCTGTCATGCCCGGCCAGTAGCGTGGCATCGGAGCGCGTGTTTAGTGCGGCAGGAGAGTATTGTAAACTCCGCGGAGGACACGACTGTCCACCCAAAGTGTGGAGAGACTCACGTTTGTGAAAATGAAATCAGGCGTGGATTTAGTCTGGATTTCAAACCACCCAGTTCCTGACACAACTGACTAAATCCGTCATGAATCATGCCTCAAACATGGCGGTGCCACTTTCAGGTCTCCTCACACATGCCTGATGTGTTTTAATTTTTTGACAATAGGGTGCTGGCAGATTACGGGCCTCCTAATAGCATGCTGCCAGGCCCCTAATGCTGCCATAGGCCCCTATATACCGCCGTCCTCATGCTGCTGCTAGGTCCACAGTCTCTCATGGGTCCCTGTAACGGCCTCCCATTGCTGCTGTCTCCCATCGCCACACTGCTGCTGCCATGTGCCACTTTCAGGTCTCTTCACACTGCTGGTGGTGTTTAATTTATTTTGACAAAGGGTGCAGGCAGATTACGGGCCTCACATAGCTGCTGCCAGGCCCCTAATCTGCCATGGGCCCCTATATACCGCCTCCTCATGCTGCTGCCAAGTCCAGAGTCTCTCATGGGTCCCTGTACGGCCTCCCATTGCTGCTGTCTCCATCGCCACACTCTGCTGCCATGTGCCAGACTTTCAGTGTCTCTTCACACTGCTGTGTGTTAAATTTTTTGACATAGGGTAGCATGGCAGATTACGGGCCTCACATAGCTGCTGCCAGGCCCCTAATCTGCCATGGCCCCTATATACCGCCGCCACCTCATGCTGCTGCCAAGTCCAGAGGTCTCTCATGGGTCCCTGTACGGCCTCCCATTGCTGCTGTCTCCATCGCCACCTCTGCTGCCATGTGCCACTTTATCAGGTCTCTTCACACTGCTTGGTGTGTTTAAGTTTTTTGACATAGGGTGCAGGCAGATTACGGGCCTCACATAGCTGCTGCCAGGCCCCTAATCTGCCATGGGCCCCTATATACCGCCTCCTCATGCTGCTGCCAAGTCCCAGAGTCTTCTCATGGGTCCCTGTACGGCCTCCCATTGCTGCTGTCTCCTTCTCCATCGCCACACTCTGCTGCCATGAGCCACTTTCAGGATCTCTTCACACTGCTGGGTGTGTTTAAATTTTTTGACATAGGGTGGCTGGCAGATTACGGGCCTCCCATTGCTGCTGCCAGACATGATAATCTGCCATGGTGTTCCCCCGTACGATATTCGACTCCTCATGCTGTGCTGACTTGCAACAAGGTGTAATTCATTCAACCTACATATGTTAGATACCGCCTTTACGAACAGCTAACAGGCATCACAGATTTCCTGATGTTAAAAGCGGATAAAGGTACTCCCTGTGTAACTTAGATGACAGCCATTGTCAGCTCATGTGTTGGACACCTGACGCTTGCTCAGCGCCCTTTGAGAGGCCACGCTATTCGAGTGAGTCGGCCAGGACTATGGTGATGAATGAGGTCAAATCGGGCCATGAGGGCCCCCGTACCGCCTGTTCACGCTGATATGCTGGTCCCCACAGTGTGACCTGGGTCCCTGTACGGTCCGCCGCCTCCCATTGCTTCCACTCTGCCATGTACCTCTTTGAAATCTCCTCACAACATCCTGCGGATTGTCCATTTTGTCATAGGTTGCTGGCAGATTAGCGGCCTTCCATAGGTGCCGACCAGGCCCATATCGACCAAGGGCCCCCCGTACCTCCCTGGTCCCACGCTGCTGCTGAGCCCACAGTGTGACCTGGGTCCCTGTACCCTCCCATTGCTTCCACACTGCGATGTGCCACTTTGAACTGGCCTCCCTCCCATTGCTTCCACTCTGCCAGATGTGCCACATTTGAAATTCTCTCAGATACAGTCCTCCATGCGTGTCCAATCTTTGTCATAGGTTTGCTGGCAATTACAGGCCTTCCATAGGTGCCCCCAAGCCCCATATCGGCCATGTGGTGGGGGTTTCCCCGTACTGCCTGGTCACGCTGCTGCTGGGCCCACAGTGTGACCTGGGTCCCTGTACCGCCTCCCATTGCTCCCACTCTGCCATGTGCCACTTTCAGGTCTCCTCACGCTCCTGCTGGTTTCCATTTTGTCATAGGTTGCTGTATGGCCTCCCATTGCTGCTGCCTCCACCGCACACTGTGGCTCCAAACACTGGTTTTGGCCCCGTGACTGGCCAAAGGAGTGAAGTGTGCAGTGATTCTAAGATCGACGGCACTCATCTGCATGTCATAACTGACAGACAGTATTATTTTCTCTTCCCCAGCAGACTCCAAGGGCATTTTTAAAAATTAAAGGTACAGTGTTCTGCACTAATATTAAGTCTCCTCTGAAGCCTAGAAACACCTTTTTTAAGTTAAATTCACAGCGAATTTATTCGACTCGAATCGAATATTGTCCACGAATTCGCGCGAATCAGTCGAATCGAATTTTTCATTTTATCTTCGCTCAAATCTCTAATTATATGGATGGCCAAGTGCATAAGTGTGTTGCATTACTTAGGGAAGAGATGCCACCAGGATGCAGTATGGATGAAGGCAAGTTGGAGGAGGCAACGTAATGGTTTGGGCAATATTCTGCTGGGAAACCTTGGGTTCTGCCATTCATGTGGATGTTTTTGACATGTACCAAAATTACCTAAACATTGTTGCTGACCAGGTACACCCCTTCATGGAAACATAATTGCCTAATGGCAGTGACCTCTTTCAGCAGGATAAAGCTCCCTTCCACACTGCAAAAATGGTTCAAGAATGATTTTTGAGGAAATACAGGGAGTTTTTATAGGTGTTGATCTGGCCTTCAGATTCTCCAGATCTTAATCCATTCAAGCATTCTGAGGGATGTGATAGAAAAATGGTTCTGATCCATGGAGGCCCCCATCACGCAGCTACAGCTAAAAGATCTGCATCTGATAGGCTGAGCCCAGTGCTAGATATCACAGCATATCTTTAGAGGTCTAGTGGCATCCATGCCTCAACGGGTCAGAGGTATTTTTCCTGCAAAAGTGGGACGTACTCGATATTAAGTGGGTGGTATTAAAAGCTATGGCTGCTCAGTATATATATATATTCATATAGTATTTATATATATATATATATATACAGTATATACTGTGGGGTTAGCTCAGGTGGGGATCTCCTTCCCTGGGGAAAAAGGTAGACCGCACAGCAGGCTTTCGTCAAAATCTGACTGGTTGTTGTCAGTTTTATTTAAAAGGTTTATGCAAAAGATATCAAAATAAACAAAACATTCAAAATAAACCCTTGCCATCCAGGCACTAACTAAACAGGAGACGTTTCCTCTCTCAGAGGTGAAAGGGTGTCCCAAGGTCCTACCTTTTCCCTGAGGTTATGTTACTCCATGTGGCTGGCGGTCCATCTTGGATTCTGCAGTGCATGGTGGGAATCCTTTTTATGCCTGTCAGGTCTCTGAGGTCCACCCCCCCAGAGGGGCGTGGCTGATGACATATAAGCCTGTGGCCCGCACATGCTCTTTGCACTTGTGTATCCTTGTGTCTTGGTGTTACTATTCACTGTGTTCTGACTCTCGTGACTCTCCTGTATTCTGATTCAGGCTTGTGACTTGACTATTCTTTGTATTCTCCTTCGATCCTGACCCCTCTATTGCTGAACACCCGGCTCGGTGACCTGTGATTCTCGGTCTGCTGTCCTGTACTGTTTTGTCCTGTTGGTTGTTGAACCCCAGGCCTGTCTGACTACTCTTTTGTCTCTCTCTTTCCACCAGCTACACTTTACTCATTGGCGGCGGCCATTACCGCAGCTGAGGTGTCTCGGGGCCGCGACCTGGTTCCCTGGCTGCGTCAAGTCCATCCCACCATCAGGGTGCCCTGGTGGAAGGGCAGCCTGGGACTTACACTCCGCGCGGCCATGAGGGACTTCGGTCTGTGGGTGGTAGTTGATTGTTTGCAGCCAGTGCGTTACATTGTTAGGCCCCTGCCTGTCCGTTCCTCGGGCTCCTGCCTGACCATTACACAAGTGCCCATGAACCCTGACCAGTGCAGGTCACGCCTTCGCTCCCCAACCGCTAGTCCTAGCCAGACTCGATCAACAGGATCACCTGTTGGATCAGTTCGCTCAGGCATTGAAACTCCTGCCTTGCACGCACTGCACACCTTGCTCCTGGTGCTATTAGGGCCGGTAGTCAATCCTCGGTGGTCTCTCCCAAGCTGCTTCTCCGCCTATTGCGTCCACCACCTCGGCTGGCTTGCATCAGCGGCACCCAGGAGGTTCCTATGACTGGCTCTGCCCCTCTTCCACAGCGCTTTGGGGAGTGAGCCGAGTCACCAGTGTCGTGGATTCCTCAACCAGGTGGGTATATATTTTGAATTAATACACCCCATCCTTCCCGTCTGAGAGGTCAAAGGTTGGGTTCCTAAATTTCACTACTACTCTGCAGGACAAAGGCCTTGGCCTGGGCAAATCCCTTTATGGGAGAGGAACGACCCGGTTGATTCAAGATTTTTCCAGTTTTGTCGATGCCTTCTGTAGGGTATTCGACGTACCGGCTCGTTTCGCCTCGGCGGCCAAGCTGCTCAATGACCATGCATCAGGGTTCACGAACACTCGTGGCCGAGTACGCCATAGAGTTTCGTACCCTGGCGGCAGAGGTCGTTTGGAACAATGAGGCTCTGGTGGCTCTGCGTTTTCCCCCATGGTCTTTCGCTGACACACAGAAGGAACGAGATTGCAGCTAAGGAACTGCCTGTGGTGTTGGAGGAGCTCATCTCACTTTCCATGATTCCCTGATTGACACCAGGCTCAAGGAGAGGCCTTCACTCAAGGAACCGACCTGCGGAGGCCCTTCCAATCGACTGGCACCATGCTTTTTTTTCTGTCCCACCCTTTCCTCCCTCTCCTCCCACAGCCTCCTGGGGATAGATTGTCTGGTGTGAGCCCATGCAGCTCTGGGGTTTGCTCGCCTTTCCGAGGGAGAGCGGGCCGCTCGTGCGTCAGGAGGGTCGCTGCCTGTACTGTGGTCTTGGTGGGCACTTTTCGGCAGTCCTGTCCGGTCCGTCCGAGGGAAACACTCGCACCTGAGATCCCTTGTCGGGGACAGATCTTGGTTGGAGTGTCCTCGTCCCCGGCGTTCCGCCGCAGTGATAAGCCACTGATCACCGTTGTCCTTCTCTCTTGGGCGGAGTGGCTCGCGGTGACGGCCCAGGCGTTGGTAGATTATCTGGGGCCGCGCGGGTTGTTTTATGGATCGTTGGACAGCTCCCCCCATTCCCCCCAATTCCTTCCCCCCCCACCCCCCATTTGCTGCCCCCCCCTTCCCCCCCCATTGCTTCCTCCATTCCCCCCCCATTCCTCCTTTCCGCACTCCATTCCTCTGGCAGGCTCGAGTTACCCCCATTGGTGTCTCGAGGCGATAGATAGGCAGGCCCCCTGCAACCACCCGCAGGTTACCCACGAGACCTGTGCCAGTGGAAGTAGCTATTGGGGCTGTTCCACAGGGAGTTGGGCCTGTTTTCCAGGTGATTTCTTCTCCGCACTATTCGGTGGTTTTGGGGGTATCCCTGGCTCCAGACGCACAAATCCAACCTCAATTGGCAAACAGCCGAGATTCTCTCGTGGTCTCCACAGTTGGGGCCGTGTGGTGGGGCAGTGTGCGAGTGCATCCTGGGTACCGGTTAAGGTGTTGTGTGTGCCTCCTCGGACTCTGCGTTGCCCTCTGATTATGGGGAGTACCAGGATCGTTGTTTGATAAGGTACGCAGCTGGTGCCTTACACTGGGCTCATCGTCCTTACGACTGCGCCATATCCTTGGCAACCCGGTGCCACGTCCTCCACGTGGCAGGGTGTATCCTCTCTCTCGGTTGCGGAGATATAAGGCCATGGAGGCGAGTAACGTTAGCGGATGCGCTTTCCCGGGGGCACATCTTACGTAAGTACACTACAGTTCCCCAGAGAGGAGCGGGCTTTTTCTTTGTTAAGACGCAAAGGGTGGTGAATTAAGGCCTCTGCATCGATTATAGGGGTCTTTATTCGGAATCACCACTAAGAATGCCTACCCGATTTACACCGCTTGCATTTACGGAGTTGTATTCGACCGCCTTAAGGGGGCAAACAGTGTCTTTACCTCAAACTTGAAACCTTCAGGGCGGCGTCGTACACCTCGTACGGGATCAAACAAGGGGATGAGTGAGAAGACCGCGTTTAACACAAGAACCGGTCACTAACGAATACCTGGGTGATGCCCTATCGGGTTGTGTAAACGCGCCCGCAGTTTATCAGGAATTCATAAATGATGTCCTTTGTGACTTGTTGCAGCAGTGCGCTGTAGTTTTACTTTGATGACATCCTGGTTTACTCTGCCTCCATGGAGTCCCATATCCAGGATGTCAAGCGGTGCTGCAACGATTACGTGAGAACAAACTTTTTTATAAAACTTGAGAGAGTGCGAATTCCATCGATCCCAAGTTGCCTTTTTAGGCTACATCATTTCTGCGGAGGGATTCTCCATGGACCCTCAGAAGGTTTCGGCGGTTCGTGCAGTGGCCTCGTCCCAATGGTCTTCGGCCCATTCAGCGCTTTTTGGGGTTTTGCCAACTACTATCGGAAGTTCATTCCGGAACTTCTCCACGCTGGCAAAGCCCTCTCTCAGACCTTACAAGAAGGGCAGTAATCCTCACGAGTGGCCACCCGAGGCCATCGTAGCGTTCAAGGCTCTGAAATCAGCCTTCCGCGTCGGCTCCGATACTGTCTCATCCCAATCATGGATTGCCCTTTGTCCTTGAGGTTGATGCATCCGAGACGGGAGTAGGCGCTCTCCTGTCTCAACTTCGGTCCGCGCCGATGGACCCCCTACTTCCCTGTGGTAGTTCTACTCCATGGGAAGCTTTCCGCTGCACGAGTGTGCAACTACCATATTGGAGATAGGGAGTTGTTGGCAATCATTCTGGCTCTCAAGTAATGGAGGCACCTGCTCGAGGGCTCGTCGCGGTCCGGTCCTCATTCTTACCGATCATAAAAGAACCTGACTTATCATTCACGGAGGCCCAAAAGATTGACACACCCCGCCAGGCCCAGATGGCGCTCTAGTCTTGTCACACTTCAACTATGTGGTTTCATATTTGCACTGGTTCCAAGAAATGTCAGGGCTGATGCGTTAGTATCCACGGCAATACTCTGAGTTGTCCAGGGAAGACTCTGAACCAATCTCAGTTAT